GTGCTCTCAAGAAGGGAGTTTCCCATCTTATAAGTGTGCTGCTGGTTACTACTGCTCAAGTGCAGCACCCTGCACTTGTCAGTATTGAAACACATCCTGTTTTTGTCAGCCCACCCTTGCAACCTATCCAGGTCTTTCTGCAGTCTTTCCCTCCCTACTAGCGTGCCCACCTCACCCCAGATTTTGGTATCATCAGCGAATTTGAACAGGTTGCTTTTTACCCCATCATCCAAATCGCTGATAAAGAAATTGAACAGTGCGGGCCCAAGGACTGAGCCCTGGGGGACTCTGCTGCCCACTTCCTCCCAGGTCGAATATGACCCATCCACCACCACCCTCTGAGTATGACCCTTCAGCCAATTAGCAATCCATCTGACCGTGTAGGCATTGATGCCACAGTCGCCTAGTTTTTTAATGAGGATGGAGTGGTCGACAGTGTCAAAGGCCTTACTGAAGTCCAGAAAGACTACATCCACGGCGACACCTGCATCCAATGCTTTTGTGACCTGATTGTAAAAGGCAATCAGGTTAGTCTGACATGACCTGCCCCTAATGAAACTGTGCTGGTTGCCCCTCAGCATCACCCCTGATGCCAGCCCATCACAGATGTGCTCCTTGATGATCTTCTCAAAGAGTTTCCCCAGGATTGAGGTAAGACTGACGGGCCTATAGTTGCTAAGATGCTCATCTGTGACCATTGGACACATGGCATTGACACCAAGTACAGGATGGATGGGAACATTTTCTCTCTCTTCCACCTCCATGACAAAACCAAAGTTACTTTGGTCTCAATTGTGGAACTTCAGTATGCTGATGATTGTGCTGTCATTGTACATACTGAAAAGGATCTGCAAACAGCCCTTAACTACTTCTCTCAAGCACACCAGTGGCTGGGACTGACCCTTAGCATCAGAAAAACAAAGGTGCTTTGCCAGCTTGCTCCAGGCCAGTCGACCCCTGTGGCAAAGATCCTCATTGATGGATAGGAGTTGGAGAATGTTGAACACGTTGCATACCTCAGCAGCCATTTCTCAAAGGCCAGCATTGATGAGGAGATCTAGTATAGTATCCAATGTGCCAGCTCTGCCTTCAGAAGATGGAATCATCATGTATTCAATGATCATGACATAAGGACTGAAACAAAGCTCCTACTATATAAGGCTGTGGTAATTCCAACTCTTCTCTATAGTTTTGAAGATTGAGTAATCTACAGGGACTACCTGAAAAGCCTGGAACACTATCACCAGTGATACCTCTGGAAGACCCTTGGCATACAGTGGGAGCATTGTCACACAGACATCAGCATCCTCACTGACACTAACACCACCAGCATGGAAGTGTTGATTATTGAACATCAGTTGCGGTGGACAGGGCATTGTGTGCACATGCCTGATGTATGTTTACCGAAACCACTGCTATACTCCCAACTCAGTCAAGGACAAAGGACACACAAGGATCAGAGGACATGCTTTAAGGACACCCTCAAGGTGAACATTAAGTGTGGCATTGACATCAGAAGTTGGGAAAAACTAGCCCAGGAGAGGGCTACATGGTGATGCCTTGTGAGAGAAGGTACATCTTACTTTGAGGAAAACCGTCTCTCCCTGGAGGCAGAAAAACAACAGAAATAGAAGGAAAGGAAACAAGACCAAGAAATCCATGGTTCAACCCTCCCTTTAACCACCACTTGTGGCATTTGCCAGAGAGTCTGCAGCCCTAAGATCAGCCTTCCTAGCCACCAATGTACTCATCTACACCCCTTTACCTCACCCACTGTGGGAGTGATCATCCTCACCTATTAGGGTTTTCCGATGGGGTAGCTCACCTGCTGGCCTACAGGGTGATCCAACCCACCAGGCTCCCCACAGGTCCAGAAATTTGGCAGTAGGGGAATGGTAGCAGCATTAATTGCTTCCAGAGCTGCAATAATTAATTCTTCTGCACTGCCAAAATTCTGGGCCTTTGGGGAGCTCCACAGGCCCTGTACACCAGATTGTGCTGGCACATGGTTGCTCTGCAGCTGGATCTGATACACAGAGCCATGCCAGCACATCAGTTCACTTCCAAGTACTGACCCCATGCTAGATCAGGCCCACAGACCAACTCCACATGTAGGTCTGCGCCCCCGCGCCCCCTCTCATTCTTGATGGGCGATTGGCTAGTACATATATAACAGGAAGTGCTTCATTTGAAAGTGCTTTTAAATTGTACTTGCTTTCTTCAGCTTCACTTCTGGAGCACCTGTGCCATTGTTTGAAGTGCTTCAAAGGATGTGCACACCTATATGGTTTGTTCTCTGAAGAGCTTCAAAAGCATTTGAAGTGCTTCAAATGTTACATCTCTCCACATGCTCAGAGGCCAGCTCTGCCTACATCTTCAGATATCTTTTCCTGAGATTTTGAAGGGTGAAAACTGTGTGAATAGCATATTGGATGAAGGGGGCAGGGAGGGACCATTTAGTTCTTACTGTTTTCTGCTTTGGTAGAGCAAAAATGGAATGAATGTGGGAATGTGCTCCCTTTTTGTAAACCTAGGTGTTTCAGGTTGGCCTTGTTAACTTTCACAAATAAAACCATTTAGTTACCTACCTACTGTCCATGCTTCCACTTAGACACACATTCATTTATGCTCCAGATTTGACCCATTCACCCTTTCTGTCTCCTGTCTCTCTCTCCAATCACTTTCAAAAGTCTGGCTATTTCTCCGCATCATTTCCAGTTCATTGTCCATTCACCACCTGCCTTCTTCATCTCATCTGCTTATTCAGTCCTCCACATGTCTGTACATCCATCTCTACTTCCCACCTGCACATCTACCACTCCACTGTCCATTAGGCCTGTGTGAGTCAGCAGCGATCTGATCCAGCTTCGGATCTGGCCACTTCAGATGGCCGCAATCCAATCCAGAGCTCTGGACTGCGTTTCCGCCTCGATCCGGCCGAAGCTTCGGAGCCACCTCGGAGATCCGGCCATAGGGTATAATGGGGGAATCAATGAAATAGTATAACTTCATTGTTTTTTGTCTGATTTTGGATGAAACTTGTAGGGATGGTAGCCTCTGCTAAGAGCATGAAACCTGCCAAGTTTCAAGAAGATCAGTGCAAGGGTTTGGGGGGAACTGTACCCCAAATTCTTGTAAGCCAAACTCACGTCACGTCTATGTATTACACCACAGGGAGGTCAAAACTGCAGGGCTGGTAGCTCTTGCTGAGGCCACAAAGCCTGCCAAGTTTCAAGGAGATCGGTGCAGGGGTTTGAGGGGAACTGAACCCCAAGCTGCGGACAAGCAAAACTCGTGCCATGGGTAATGCTGCGTGTGTTAAGGCTCAGCGGGGTGACAGCTGCAGGGATGGTGGCCCCTGCTGAGGCCACGATGCCTGCCAGCTGTCAAGGAGATCAGTGCAGGGGGGTTCTGGGGCCCTGCACCCCTAGCTGCTAACAGGCAAAACTGTGCCAAGACTGTCTCTGTCTTGGGGCAGTTGATTGTCTGTATTGAGTCTTTCCCCTTTTTAGCCTGGGTTTGTAGGTGCTAATTGATGCTCATTAAGTTGTTATGTAGTAGCTAGGTCCTGTGTATTGAGCTGGGCCCTGAGGCCCTGGTCCCTGAGAGAATCATGGATTGATTGGTAAGGGGGGAATCCAGCAGCTTAGCAGCCAGGCCTGCAGCAGTGTCTCCCCTCCCTGCCCCCAAGCAGACACAGTCAGTCCCACAAGCACCCATGGCACCAGTTTTGCTTGTCCGCAGCTTGAGGGGCAGTTCCTCCTAACCCCCTGCACTGATCTTTTTTAAACTTGGCAGGCTTTGTGGTCTCAGCATAGGCTACCACTCCTGCAGTTTTCACCCAGCTATGTTGTAAGGCCTAGACGTGACATGAGTTTTGCTTTCAAGAATTTGGGGTGCTGTTCCCCCCCCCCCAGCCCCTGTACTGATCTTCTTGAAACTTGGCAGGATTCATCCTCTATGCAGAGTCTACTCCCCCTGAACATTTAATCTAAATCAGACAAAAACCAACAAAGTTATAGGTATTTTATTGTTTCCCCATTGTTACCCTATGGCCGGATCTCGAAGGTGGCTCTGAACCACTTCGGGAAGCCTAACAAAGCCAGAGCTTCGACCTGGACACACTGCTTCAGATCCCGAAGCATCCAAAGCTTCTCCTGATCCGAAGCTCTGTCTGAAGCCTCTCACAGCCCTGCTGTCCATCCCTAGCTGTCTGCCTAGCCACAATACATTCATCTGGAACGGTGGAGGATGAGAGCTGAAGGAGACAGAGAAGAGTGGCAGCGCTGAATCAAGGGCATGGGAGAAATTATGACAAAAAGGGAAAGGAAGAAAAAGAAGATTAAAACATTTGGAACCCACCTCGAAGTTTCCTGACCCCAAAAGCCCAGGGCAGCAGGAGCAGAAAAACGCTGTAGAAGTTCATCATGGTCGCACCTGCCTGCACATGAAATACAATTCTGGATCAGGAATCAGCTCGGCTGCTGTTCGTGTGCTCCTACACACATACATGCTTCTGGAGAATGAGGAAGCAAAACTCTTGTGGTACACAAGAGAAGGTCCAAAACCTTTTCTGAGAGAAAATTCCCTCCCCATGCATAAAATATCTTCCAAGATGACCATTTCTGAAAGAGCAAAATCTGTCTCACTCCTTGCTAGCTGGGTGATTACTGGCAGGCACTATATTGTATCACTGTAATGCAGGGACTGCCCCTCTTCACCCTGACACTAAAACAAACCCAAAGCTTTGGAGTGAGGGGAATTCGACCTCCACATTCATTTGCTACCCTTCCACCAATGATAACATAGCTCCCTTAGCTAGCAAAGCAGGCAGACAGATGATCCCCCTGATCTCTTACTCACTGGCAGTTGCAGCATCCTTGCAGATGAGGGAACCAGCGGTGACACACTTCCCAGAGCTGGAAAGACCTAACTGACCATGCTCCCCACATCCTTAGCCTTCTCAATCAGACTAGGTCTGGAGGCATCTAAGCACACCAAACATCTCCTTTCCAGATTCAGATTCAGCCCTTAATGTCATGGAGTGAGAAGTGAGACTTACACAAGCCAAACTTCCTGGATTTTGCTTCTTTCAGAATTTCCAGGAGCTGTGACAGGAAGTATTTCTGTTCACACTGTTATGCTGAACTGTTTCTATTTTAAGAGTTTACAAGAACTGAATCTTGTGGGTTTTGTGAAATCATAAGCAACAACTCACTGCTGATAAAGACTGCCTTTCCTACCCCATCTTCTGGCCTCCTCCCTCCCAAGCCTGCTTAGATACAGAAAGAACAGAAAAGGAAATGGAGAGCACGGCTGCAGCAGGCACCGGAAGGAGATGGCATTCACTCCCTATCTGTCCCGGCTTTGTCCCAGGACCCTGCTGGATCCTGTCAGAACCTCAACTGTGAGCTATCTAAGGCAGGGACAGCCCTTTACTACCCACCTGTGCTTTGCCTCTGCTCCAGACTCCTGGACCAGAACCCCAGGATCCCAGATGGCGCTCCCTCAGCCACATAACTGTTAGTTTTGCATTTACAGACAGCTGGCAATCTTATTACACATCCTGCATGGCTGTGCAGATGGATACTAGATGTCAAACAACAGAGAAAGGAGCCAAACAATTTAAGCCAATAGTATAGTGGTTAGGGTACTCACCTAGAAAATGAGTGATTCAGGTTCTAGGCCCTTCCATGGCAGGACAGCTTAAATCTGTATCCCTCCTATGTACTAGTGCAGTGCTTGAACCACAAAGTCATAAGCTAGGCATTAGCCAGACTCCCAGTCACTTCCCCTTCTAATACCCACATAGTGGATTTTTTTGGTTTTACTTCATGTTGAATATGACGCATATCCAGTATTGCGTGTATCTGCCCAGCCGGAGCACAGCCTGCCGGAAAGCAGGGTGTCTAACTGTGCATAGGTATCAAAACCAGTAGATACACAGCCAGGTGAGTGCCATTTGGGCATGTAAAGTAAAGTAGGATTCTGCCCCTATGACTTCTATTAATTTTGGGCTGTCTCTTCAAGAATAAATCATGAATTATTAGATGACACATCAGAGGAGATGGGAGAAAACTGGAGGGAAGCGAGAATAGGACCAGAAAGGTAGGATAATCCATCCAAGGATGCCACAGGGTTTGAAATCCAGCTTCCCATATCTCCCAGTTAGTCTCCAGCAGGCAGGCCCTTGGACTGGGCTATGAAGAGCTTCCAGGGTCCTGGCTGTACATGCTGAAGCATGGCAGACCCTGGGGGTGAGTTGTTAGGGTCAAGATGAGCATCAAGGTAGCAGCCTGCTTGTCCTCCACAAAGCACAGAACATGAAAACTGCCCCTGCCCCTTCTGTGCCTTTATTATGATCCATTCTCCCACTGATGTCTAGTGATGGCCTACTCCCACAGCTTGGTTCCTCCTCATAGGGACTGTGGCACTGTAGTGGGAATTGGAAGAGCACCTGTGGAGGAGTAAGGCTCTGTGGGTATTTTTACACATGCTCCGGAGGTGTGTGTGGAGGCAGGGGGAGCACTCTAATTAGAATGGCTCCAAGAGCTGCTCTAATTAAAGCACTGCTGCATCACCTGTATCAGTATCCCTGCACTTAAAAATGGTGGTGGGGGCGCTGGAACTAAAGGTCACCAAATGAGCTTTAGCTCAAGTGCCCATGCCACCATTTTTAAGCATGCGGACACTGATACACAAGATGCAGGAGGTGCTGGAGTGCAACAATTGTCACAGTCCAGCAGACTCGATTCACTGAGTCTGCTCTGGCATGCTGGAATTCCAGTGCATCGGAGCAGCCTTGGTGCTCACATATAGGTGCCCTGTGTGCACCAATGTGTGTGAAGGCGCGCGAGCAAAGAAGAGTACAGAGCAGAGCAGGCAAAATACGGCCCATGGGCTGGATCGGGCCTGCCAGGCCACTCTATCTGGCCTGCAGGGCTCCTCAAAAAACATTTATTGAAGGCCAGTAGGAGGGCTTTCAGAAGTCACATATGTAGCAGGGCACTGCAGTGTACCTACTCCTTTAACGGCACAAGCAACCTGTCAGGTAGGCCTGTGCGAATAGGCAGCTATTCGATTCAGCTTTGGATCCGGCCACTTCGGATGCCAGTGATCCAATCCAGAGTTCTGGATCGGTTTCCCACTTTGATTCAGACGAAGCAGCTCCAAAGGTTCAGAGCCGCTTTGGAGATCTGGCCATAGGGTAAAATGGGGAATCAATTAAATATCTATAACTTTGTTGTTTTTTGTCTGATTCGGATGAAACTTGCAGGGGTGGTAGCCTCTGCTGGGAGCCTGAAGCCTGCCATGTTTCAAGTTCAGTGCAGGGGTTCAGGGGGAACTGTACCTCTGCACCCCAAATTCTTGAAAGCAAATCTCATGTCACTTGTATGTGCTGCACCACAAGGGGATGAAAACTATAGGAGTAGTGACCCCTGCTAAGGCTAGAAAGTATGCCAAGTTTCAAAAAGATAGGTGCAGGGGTTGCGGGGGAGCTGCACCCCAAATTCTTGAAAGCAAATCTCATGTCACTTGTATGTGCTGCACCACAAGGGGATGAAAACTATAGGAGTAGTGACCCCTGCTAAGGCTAGAAAGTATGCCAAGTTTCAAAAAGATAGGTGCAGGGGTTTCTGGGTTCTGGGGCCCTGCACCTCTGGCTGCTAACAGGCAAAACTCATGACATGGGTGACACTGTGTGTGTTAGGGTGCAGCATGGTGAAAGCTGCAGGGACGGTGGCCCCCTGCTGCGGCCATGAAGTCTGCCAGATGTCAAGGAGATCGGTGCGGGGAGGTTCTGGGTTCCTGCACCCCTAGTTGCTGACAGGCAAAACTCATGACATGGGTGCTTGTGCAACTGACTGTGTCTGTCTTGGGGAAGATGACTGTCTGTACTGATTCTTTCCTCTCCTTAGTCTGTGGTTTTGTAGGTGTTAATTGTTGCTAATTAACTGGTTATATTAGCTAGCAACTGTGTATTGAGCTGGTCCCTGAGTGAATCACGATTGATTGGTAACTGGTAACAGTAGCTTAGCAGCCAGGCTTGCAGTAGTGTCTCCCCCACCCTCCCCCAAGACAGGCACTGTTGCACAAGCACCCATGTCATGAGTTTTACCTGTCAGCAGCTAGGGGTGCAGGGCCCCAGAACCCAGAAACCCCTGCACCTATCTCCTTGACAGCTGGCAGGCTTCATGGTGGCAGCGGGGGCTAGCAGGCCTGCAGTTTTCATCCTGCTGCGCCTTAACACACACAGTCACCCATGTCATGGGTTTTGCTTGTCCACAGCTCGAGGTGCAGTTCCCCCCAAGCGCCTGCACCAATCTGCTTGAAACTTGGCAGGCTTCATGGCCTCATCAGGGGCCACCACCCCTGCAGTTTTCACCTCCTTGTGGCATAACACATACACGTGACATAAGTTTTGCTTTCAAGAATTTGGGGTACAGTTCCCCCCCAAACCCCTGCACCTATCTTTTAGAAACTTGAGGCTACCACCCCTGCAAGATTCATCCAAATCAGACAAAAAACAACAAAGTTATAGATATTTCATTGATTCCCCATTATACCCTATGGCCGGATCTCTGAAGTGGCTCTGAAGCTTTTCCGAAGCAGTTCGGAAGCTCTGAACCGCTTTGGAAAGCCTAATGAAGCCAGCACTTCGATCCAGATGTGCCGTTGTGGCATCCGAAGCATCCAAATCTTCTCCAGATCCGAAGCGCGGTCCAAAGCCTCGCACAGCCCTACTGTGAGGCCACTTGCATGTGGCAGGGGGGAGCTAATGAGGAACACACCTGACCAGAAGAGGGCTCAGGCTGTAGCTGTATAAGCCCAGAGCTTGCACTGATCAGAGAGGCTCTCGCCAGCAACCATGAAGTGAGGAGCTCCTGGCTGTAGGGTAGCAAGGCTCCTGCAGGGACCTGGATATTGCTGAAGGACTCTTGCAGGCCTGGGAACAGGAGCAAGTTCCTTGGACTGAGAACGATTGGGCTTTTACAGGTAAATGGCCTTTGTTTATGTATAACCCCTAAAGGGTTTGAGATGTCTGCCAGAGGATTAAGATGCTTCTCGCTTATTTAAGTTACACTCGTAGTTTAGCCTTGAGCCCTGAGGTACCATAGGCTCAAAGCCTATCTAGAGAACTGATAACCCAGGAGCCCTCAGACTAAGAGTAAGACCCAGTAAGGGGTCCAGCAGCTGAGGAAAGGTTGAGACTTGGACCAGAGGGTCCATGAGCTCTAAAAAGGCCAAGCTGGACTAGAGAGTCAAAGAGCCTGGAGGAGGGGTTGTGGGCAGGACCAGGGGTCCGAGAGCCCAGAGGGAGACTACGTAAGAGACCATGGCATCTGAGGGCCCAAGGGGGGCTGAGTGTACAAATAGTTAACATCAAAAAGAGAGAGAATACCCATGAGGCTCAGGGCATAGTGTAGGGGAGGAAACGGAGCCACACACTGAGCCCTTAAGGCTATGGGTGCCCTGGAGGGGCACAGATACACAGGTAGCCCTTGAAGCTACAGGGGCCCTCCAAGGGCACAGGCCAGCTGAGAGGGTCTGTTGAGATTAAGGGTCAAGGCATGGCATGGCAGGAACAAGGCATGGCAGGAAACCATTAAGAGAGGACTATAATAGAGAGTGAGCCAAGCAGGGGTCACACAGCTGCCCCTGGGACACAAACCTGCCACAGCGTGCCATTGGACCAGGTGGGCTCTGTGCTTCCACCTCTGTGGGGCTCCCAGCCCTCCATCTGGGAGCCCCATGTGGAGGCACTGAGCACAATGGTGTGCAACTGGACAGCTGGTGAGTGGGAAGGGGAGCTCCAGCCTGCAGGAGGATGGGTGGGGTTGGGGGTGGAGATGACCCCCCACCATTGTGCACAGCCCCCACCACCAGCAGCAGCAGTAGGCACTCGGGACACTCCTGGCCCGCTGCAGGCAGAGCCCCTCAGCAGCACAGCTCCAGCTGAGTACCAGGAGCTGCACGTGGCAGCATAAAGACCACATGGCCTGGTCCGCTGGCTCGCACCTTCAAGCCAAAGTGGGCTGGCTCCATGCCAGTGCATGGGGCTCCTGGCACTACAGGTGGGAGTCATGCACCATTGAGCTGGACTGGCTCCATGCCTCCATGTGGCACTTCCAGCACTCCAGAGGGGAGATGCATGTAGTGTCATGGAGCCCGGCCTGATGGCATGTGACTCCCACTTTCAGTGCCAGGAGCCCCATGTACTATAGAGCCATTAGGAGCAGGGTTTGCTCAACATTTCTCTGTAGGGCAGATGATGTTCAGGAGTTCTCCAGCTATTGTTCTTGAAGTCCTGTGAGCTTTCTCACTGATGTGAGGTTCACTGCAGTCACTCAACCTCCTTTTCCTTCCTCTCTCAAATGATCCCCCAGTGTGATGGAAAGAAAAGCACTTCAGACAAGCACACTCCAGGATCTAATAAGGCTGCCAAGGTCCTAGGCCAGTGGTTTTCAACCTTTTTTTTTCTTTTACAAACCCCTCTGGAAATTTCAAATGGAGGTACGGATCTCTTTGAAGTGTAAGTGTGGGTATTCACATATTTTTTGACTGATCATATCAACTTTCACAGACCCATTAGACATAGTCTGCAGACCCTCAGGGGTCTGTGGACCACAAGTTTAAAACCACTGCCCCAGGCAGTATGGGCGCCTATACACGTGCAGCAAGGCTGCTCCTATACACTGTAATTACAGTATGTCGGAGCAGACTCAATTAATTGAGTCTGCTGAAGTGAGCTAATTACTGCACTCCAGCAGACTCCAGTATCACATGTATCAGTGTCCCCGTGCTGAAAAATGGCAGCGCAGGCACTTTAAGTAAAGCTTATTTGACAAGCTTTAGCTAAAGCACCCCTGCCGCCATTTTTTAGCACAGGGACACTGATACATGTGACACTCTTAGAGCTGCTCTGGTCTAATAAAAGATATCAAATTCAGCCAAGGAACCTTGTCTGCCTATGTCCTTAGACCAACACGACTACAACCCAACCGCCCCCCCCCACCCCACACACACACACACACACACTCCCAGCACACGTGTATAAATGCCCTGTATTCCTGATGGGGGGGAAAAAGGCCCCATAATAATAAAATAGCTTACAGTGCAGCTTCCTAGAAATTGCCAATGACCCAGAGCTAGGAAGTGAACCAGAGAGGCATTTCTGCTACATGCTTATTTCTATGAATAAGGAAAGCATTGTGATGAACTCAATCTTTTACTGACTTGCCTAACTGCAGGATTGTATGACTATTGCACTAGTCACTCTTGCTTCCCCTTCTTGCTGTTTTTAATCCTACCCCCATACAGTGCTATGCCTTGATGTACCCAAATAAGCATTTTGGATCAGGGAGTATCTTCACCTGAGGGTTTCTACAGTGTCTAGTGTATGCAATCAAAAGCACTGGAATGGGGTCCCACACATTTTTAGAGTTTGAAATGCTGTTTATAACAAGTTACATTATCCAAACAAACAAATTACACTGAATAACAGTAAACAGATGTATCCAATTAGCACACTAAGCAGAACTAGTATTTCTGACACACACCTGCAAAGAAGTGCTGGACTCCATCTTCCTCCCCTCATCAGTTGTGACACTGCAGCAAAGCCAGAGCTAAACATTGTACTTGGCAGGTGATGCATTGAAATCTAAATGATTTCCCAAGGTCTGATCTCTGAGTGGCAGCTCTGAGTCAGTGGCTTTCAAGAACTTGCAAAGCTTTGCTTACAATAAAGGAATTGGAGAGAAATGGATTTTCCTTCTTTGACACAGCTTATACCTTACACATGATTGTTACCAAAGCAGCTAGTTCAGATGCATTACGATCATCTAGCAACAGGCAATGCCTAGAAAGGCAGCAAATCCTACAGTATTTTAGCAAGCAAAACTATAAGCACCACAAGGTCCTGACTTGACAATCTGCACATCTTGTCTCCTGCATAGTTGGTCTTGCAATTAAGTACGTCTCCATGGTTTTGTGCACTCTAATTATGGTGTGGGCTTCTGAATCACACTTCAGTTAGCAGAAACTTCCTGGTTTCCAGCCAAATTTTCCAATTTCAGTTTCACCCTTTTACTCCTGTCCATCTTGTACTGTCCTGAGCAGTTCTCATTCCCACTATACCCTTCTTATCAACGCTCCAGGATGATTTTTATCATTATCTTGCTAAATAAACTCTTGGATTTAAGAGTAAGAGGCATTTCATGCCAGGAACTCGTGACAGTCTTAAAACATGACATGAAGTTGGATCCCTCATGCGGCAAAGTTTGCACTGAAGTCATCGCTACACATTCTGCACTACAAACATGTCAACGTTATCAGAAATGACAGCTCTGGAAAAGCAGAAGCTTCTTCAGCCGGGGAAGTTTGGCTTGTTCCTGTAGCCAAATATACTGAGGAGGAGGACATGGTGCTAATTAATGTCCTTCACTTGTAAGCATGGAGGCTGGGAGAGAAGAACTTATCATTGTCTTTCTCCCTGGGTGTTGGTAGGGGGGAAGGGTGGGAAGTAAAATAGAGGTGACAGTTCTTAAACAGCAGCATTTTTGTTCAGTCACTCACTGTCTTTGCTGATGGTCTCACAACCTCATCAAACTTCCTTGCCCTTGCAACTGGCTACTGTCCAGCCCACAATGGCAAGGCAAAGTATTCATCAGTATTCAAGGTTTTCGGGGACCAAATGGCCTGCATGTGAAGCGCATCCTCTTGCTTGCTGCAGGTGGGTCCTCCATTATCTGGAAAGGTGCTGCACATCTGTTTCATCAGATCTTAGTGTAATTTACATTGGGATGTGAATTCAATGTAAGGGAATGCTGTATTTGGTCCTTTTTGCGGGCCCTGGGAGGAGCCATTCAAGAGGACAGCAGTCAGTGAGTTCGGGCCTTCTATTTTATCTCTTTCATCTCTTCCACATCCACTAGTTGGGCTGATGATGTTTCTTGTCCTCCTGCAAATATATGCTTCGTCTCTTTCTGGTCAGGAAAGAAGAAAATCTGGGGGTGACCTGACCCTCCCCAACCCATCACTAAGGTCTGTAGCCCTCTGTGGTTTGGGGAAAATGTTCCAAGGATATTGATTCTTCCGTAAGTCTTTCTGGGGATGCTCCCAGGTCCTCTTGAATATTCTCCAGGGAGTTCCCATATGGGGAATACAGGTACGGACCATTAAAATCAAAGTAGGACATAGGTACCCAAGAGGGAGTGTCTGCTGTAGGACTACCAACACAGGCAAATGGGGCCGGTGCGATGGAATGACTGGTCCTTTGACTTGAATGCCAGGCACATGGGGCTGCTGAAAATGAAGCAGAGCCTGGCACTTCAGAAGTGTGATACCAGTTTCTTAGGTCCATGTTTGGTGCCTCAGTTCCTGAGGACCTTGCTAAAATAACCTTCACCATGCTGCAACAAGGACAAAAACAAAGGGATAAGTCACTAAGGAGAGGTCACCTGCAAAGAGCATTGCAAAGAGACAGGTATGAGCTAAGGAAACAGAGCCTCTTGGGGAGGAAAGGGGGTAGAAGTAATCCTTCCCTGTGGGCAGGTTACCCCACATGTCAGTTCCCAACACTGCCTTTTGGAGTGTCTGGCATTGGTCCCTGATGGTATCACAACCCCAAACTTGATGAACCAGTGGGGATTCCTATATTCCAAGGACACATGCACCAAGCCATTGGTCACCCTTCAGAGAACATGATTACCAACATCTGCACTATGTAGTTTCATAACTCCACATGGCAGACTATGCACATGTGGCTTGGGGCGGTTTTTATATCCCTGCTTCCAGGTCAGGAAATCATGGGTATTCATCCAGCTTGGGGAGGGACACAGCCAGAATTATTCTTTGTCTTTATCCTTGGGCCCTCCAGAGTTATCCATACATATTTCCAGGCAGCCTTGTGGATGTTTGGTGTGTTTTATCATCTACAGAAGTTACATTTCTCACTCTTCCCTGATGGAAGCAGCTATCTTCCGACTCACTGAGATCTCAGGGTCACTGAGGAACACTTTGGATGACATCAACAACTCAGCAGCACATTGTTCTCTTACCTATGCAGCACTTGTATGTTGTTGATCTGCTCCACCTTCTCCAAATGGCTCTGATTGTCAAAGACCACCAACTTGCTTGGCATGAGATTACCTAGTGGTCCTTTCTAAAGAGAAAGAAAAACTCACAGCATCCCCTCAGGAAAGAAGGATCTTGACTATTGAAAGATAAATCTCCTGGGTGGCAAGGGAGAGCCAGGAGCCCTGAATGAAAGGTGGGCATGTAGCACACAGGCTACTGCAAAGGATATCCTGAAGGCAGAACTGCTTCTAGTACTTCTCTAAGGCCTATTTTTTTTTCTCTCTTTCATTTCCACAATACTAGTCTCCACCCTGTGTGTTATGCAGGGGAAGGTGTGTAGTAGCAGTTCTACTCAAGGAGCTAACAACAACACTGCAAAAGTCACAATCTGCCACTCTTTGCAATGGCAATAAGGCTCTGAGGATATCATCAGCAGGAGTAAGATGCAGAAAATCTTGCTGGGTGCACAGAACAACAGCTCAGCCTTTGATAGGTAGGTGAAAAGTCTTTGGATAAGAAAACTCATCATAAGCAACTGAAACTTTTAAAATCTCAGGGGAGAGAACAAAGTCCAACTGTGGCTTTAAAATCAATTGTGTGATCAGAAACAAAGCCACTGTGGAAGTGTTGCTCTTCCATAACAGAGATATTCCCAGTGAGTCAGCCCAGGGGTCAGTCCTAGGCCCCATGTTAATTACTGCTTTGGAAATCGCACATTAAAGACTATTAGAAAAAGTAAAGGCTCTCCAGATGGAACCGAACCCATTCAGAGAATGATCAGCAGGAGAGCAGGAAGAAGTCCAGGTGCATAAGTGTAAGGCAAGAGTCAGTGGCACACATTCAGTTATTATTTATTTATTTACATATCACCTGGACATCTCCCATACACTGACAAGCAGAGTCCTGATAGAAAAAACCTCACCAATCAACAGGAACGGGTAAGCAAAGTGACCTTCCATTGTGGAGCGCATGGCATAACTGCTCGTAGTGTGCTTGTCTGGAAAGGGGATAGAAATGATGCCAGTCTCATGGAGAAGGTGAGGGCATTTCCCCTGGAACATTATATTCATGCCCAGTCACCTCCCATGAAACAGGAGGTAGATTGAAAAGGTGCAGAGCAGGGGATAAAAGGTGGCTTAATGTAAAAAGAAGAGTTTTAGAAGAGAACAGTAGAAAAACAATGGTTGGGATGTGGCACAGGTATTAGTGACATAGCCTAGGCCATATGAGACCTAGGTCCAGTTCCCAGCTCTTCCTCAGGGACTTCCATATGCCTCAGTTCCCCTACTCCCTCAGAAAGGAGTGTTAAAAGAGACTGATACTATCTCTGACTGCAAAAAACCTGGATAGTGATGTACACTGAATTTTGAGAACCCAAACCTTGTGTCTGTGAAGACCAGGAAGGAATCCCTCTACTCAGGGTTCTGCAGACCTGACCAGCAGAACTGGGTGTATCTTGGGGGAGGGATGGTTCTTTATCTCTGAAGCCCCAGGGTTGGCCACTGAGCCACGGTGAGAGACACAAGAAACCCGAGGCCTTACCTGTGATGTCCACTCTGCCCACAGCATCCTCAGTGACTCCCACCAGCTCTGGGCTGTGAGCAGGCAGACTCCAAACAGGCTGCTCCCCGCCAGCAGGAACCCCAGGGGCAGCCTGCTCCTCTTTCTCTGGCTCCTGCAGAGCTTCCTCCTTCCTTTTCCCAGGTGCAGCTCTGCAGCGTACAGCCCCCTCTTACCTGGAAGAAGCCCTGCACCAGCTGACTCTTGCTGGGATTGGGAATCTTTTCTTCCCATTTTTTCTTCTTGCTGCAACAACAACAACAACACCAGTGATGCAGAGTTGGCAGAGCAAACATCTGGTCTGTGGCTGCTGGCAGCCAAAGGCTGCATCACATGCATAGCCTTGCCCTGGGCCACTGTAACACCATATATGCACTGGACTGCCAGGGCCCTGCACTAACCCAATCCTCAGTCACAGATGGGGCTCCCTGCTGTACCGTAGGCTTATCCCAGCTGAACTAAGGTGACCATGGATGTGACCATGGAGCATTTCATCGTTGGTTTTCCACCCTCCCTTCACTCAGTTTAGCATGGTCTCTGGGGATCTCCCCGGCCCACAGGCATCCAGACTTACTTGAAGAGATATTTACAGCTGCACCAACCAGTCGCTATCAGAATGATAGTGACAACTGAGACCATGAATGGGAGAATCAGTGGTGACACAACTGAAAAAAGAGAGAGGGAGAAATTAAGAGAAAACAAGACATGCCATAAATGGATACTCATTTGTAGTACTACAAGTGCCTCTACACTTTTTAGTGCTGAAAAAGTAGAGTGCTTTGAGGGGTCTCAGCTGTCCTTGGTGCTGCAACAGCAGCAGCTGCTACTGCCATTTTAGTAGCACTACAGCGGATGCATATCTTTCCCCTCAACTTGTGTAGAAATTTGTATCATCTCTCCAGGGCCACAGTGGCTTTATCCTACAGCAAACATTTCATTCTGGTTTAACGGATGATATGTAGGAGAGCTTTAGTCGCATGGCAAGGCATGTGTCCTGATAGTGAGGTCTGGTAAATTTCCTGAAGGAGGAGAGACTGACTGTCATTTATCAGCAGAACTGTGACAGTTCCCAGGATAATGAAACTATGAACAGATCTGCTAAACCCAAGTCATGATTCAATCCAAGTATATCTGAGCCCACTCTGTTTGGTCCCCCAAGAGCATCGTGGCAAACAATTTATTTAAAATTGAGGAGGACCTTGTATTTGCATGAATTCTGATGCTTCCATGGGCTATAAAAGGAGTCTTCCTCTCAACCTAAGCCATTTTAAAAAGAGCCAATTCTGTTGGAATTGGGTCCTTCTCTTGCAGGAGTCATAGCCCAGTCTGCAGGAGTCATAGCCCAGCCTTTGGCAAAGATATTCAAAAACTCCTGGCACTCAGGTGAAGTACCTGAAGATTGGAAGAAGGCCAATGTGGTGCCTATCTTCAGGAAAGCGAGGAAAGTAGATCCGGGGAACTACAGGCCAATCACCTTGACCTCAATCCCTGGAAAGATTCTAGAAAAAATCATCAAAGAGACCATTCTTGACAAGCTGGCTGGTGGCAACATCCTGAGGGATAGCCAGCATGGGTTTGTTGCAGGTAGGTCTTGCCTGACCAATCTCATCTCCTTCTATGACCAGGTGACCTATCACCTGGACAAGGGAGAAGAGATTGACATCACATATCTGGACTTTAAAAAAGCCTTTGATCTGCTGTCCCATGATTTCCTCTTGGAAAAATTGACCAACTGTGGCCTCAGCTACATCACAGTCTGATGGCTGGGGAATTGTCTCCGAGGCTGGACACAGAGAGTGGTTGTCAACAGAAGTGAATCATCATGGCACTCCGTAACCAGTGGTGTCCCCCAAAGCTCCATCCTTGGATCTGTTCTCTTTAATGTCTTTATCAATGATGTAGATACTGGGGTCAGAAGTGGACCAGCCAAGTTTGCTGATGACACCAAACTTTGGGGTACAGCGTCCACACCTGAGGATAGGCTGGTGACCCAGGTTGACATGGATAGGCTGAAAAAGTGGGCAGATACAAACCTGGTGACATTCAATACCAACAAATGTAAGGTACTCCACCTTCGGAAAAAAACCTGCATCACGCTTACAAGCTCGGCAGTGCTACACTCACTAGCACCATGGCTAAAAGAGACTTGGGGGTCACAATTGACCATAAGATGAACATGAGCCACCAATGTGATGTTGCAGCTGGTAAAGCAACCCAAACTCTGGCTTGCATCCATAGATGCTTCTCAAGTAAATCTCAGAATGTCATCCTTCCACTCCCACTGTACTCAGCTTTGGTGAGACCACAGAGGGAGTACTGCATCCAGTTCTGGGCTCCACAATTCAAGAAGGATGTGGAGAAGCTTGAGAGAGTCCAGAGGAGAGCCATATGCATGATCAGAGGGCAAGAGATCAGGCCTTATGAAGAGAGACTGAGAGCCGTGGGACTCTTCAGCCTGGAAAAGTGCAGGCTCAGGGGTGATATGGTGGCAGCCTATAAGTACATCAGGGGTGTGCATCAGGATCTGTGGGAACATCTGTTCACCAGAGTGCCCCAAGGGGTGACAAGTTCCAATGGTCACAAACTCCTCCAAGACCATTTTAGGCTAAACATAAGGAAAAATTTCTTTACTGTCCAAGCCCCCAAGGCCTGGAATAGACTCCCTCCAGAGGTGGTGCAAGCACCTACTCTGGACTCCTTTAAGAAGCATTTGGATGCTTATCTTGCTGGGATCCTTTGACCCCAGCTGACTTCCTGCCCTTGGGGCAGGAGGCTGGACTCGATGATCTTCCGAGGTCCCTTCCAGCCCTAAGGTCTATGAAATCTATGAGATGTTATTTTGTCATCAAGAAAAGAGTGGGAGAAAAAAAAAAGATCTTAAGCCACTGTTCTCCTCTGCTCCGTGCTAAGAATGCAAAAGACCAAGAAACCGTCCGATCAAAAAAACAAACAAAAAAAAAAGAAAAAAGAAAGTAAAATCTAGTGAATGCAAGACTGAGTACATTAGCAATAAATGGGGGTGTAGACACGCCTACTCTGCATCATCCCCATTACAATCAGTGACCCAGATCCTGCCAAGGTTTGTGGTGTAGAGGGAAGGGACTGTGTAAAAGAAGATTACTGTCAAGTGACCTTCACCCACAAACTTGCCTAGGACTCAGAACTAAAACCTATGGAAGACACTTTGAATATGCTGCTAGCTCTCTCCGTGGAAGTTCCTGCCTCCTCATCCAACTCACCCACTTTAGACCCTGAATCTCAAACTGTGCTCCTGCAGCCCAAGCCTCTTGCCTCTCAGGGTTCCCATTCTGACAACCAAAGGGAGGGACCTCTAGGAAGGAGCTTTGCTTAGTTTAATATAGAGAAGCCTGGCTCCCACTAAGCCCCAGCCCAAGGGACCTCTTTTCTATGAAGCACACTATTACCCACAGAACACCAGGTCACAAGTACCATGCCCTGTTTGCCAAGCGCACTCCTCACTCCACTCGCTCCAGGGACCATTGTAGTCAGAGGACGCATTCACCCTTGCCCGCATTTTTGCCCTATAGCATGTTGATGACTCTAGCATCTGGGAGGGGAAGATGAAGGGGGGCTCATCATTGCTGATGTTGATGGACTTGGCAGCCTGAGGAGAGAAAAGCAACATGAATTAAATTGCCTTTCCTACCCACCATCTCACAGGAGTGTGGGATCTGCAGAACCGCCAACACCTACCTCCGAGGACTGGTCTGCCTTCCAGTACAAGACTTGATAGCTCTGTTTTATAAAGCCATACTGTAGTTTATGCTTTACCCATCTCAGTTCATACTCCTGGTCTTCCTTTGTTGTCACTGTCAAGTTGGTGGGTGCAAGCACTTTGACTGGAACACAAGGAACATTTTAGGTGTGAACATCCCTCCCTTGTCTCAGTATCTTTCTGCCCACCTCCTCCAGTTTTTCTCCATTCTGGGTGGATGCCAGGACCAAGTTGTAGTTTGTCTGCTGAGACACAAGGCTGGCTGATGGTAATGATTCCACCTGGTATATTTTATCTCATCCTGACCAATCCTTTTTGTATTTTTTCAGAGCTCTATGAAAGCCAAGGAATTGCAATCTGATTGCAATCTACTTCATTTGCTACCAAACCATTCAGCTTCCCCATCAGGGATGCAGCAACCCAAAACCATGATCCAAAGCCCAGTGATGTCAATGGAAAGATTCTCACCAACTTGGGTAACTTGGGATCATGGCCTGTGATTCCTAACAGCAGAATCCTGCTTTTGTGACCATTCTTAGAGCAGTTTTAATCAACTGTCTACTATTGCAAGCTTCCTCATAGCAGTGCTCTGTCTGTGCCAGGTATTCAAGTTCTGTACACTTCCTTAGCCTAACATTTGCTCCAAACGTCATGGTCTAGTCTGAATCTTAATCAGCCCATCACTCCTTCCTGCCCCCATCCCTCCAAATACACACACACACACACACACACACACACACACACACATGCACACACTGCCTAGTCCCTTTTACCAATCCAAACATTGACTCTCTTTGAGGAGAAAATCCCAGGTTTACCACAGTGGACTATGGAAATAGGGTCTCACTGTGCTTAGAGGCATCAATGTGTTTCTCTTCTTTCTTGGGCCGGACAGTTACATGGTACTGGCTTGTATGGTTGCAGTTGGTGACATAGATCTCACAGTGCTGCTGTACATAGGGGATGTCAGACACCTTCTCCTCATAAACTTGCAAGCATTCCTTCTCTCTGAGGGAAAAAGAAGGTAGGGCTGATGCAGGAGCAGATCCAGAAAGGGGGTGCTCTCCCTCCTTTGCCCTGCTTCTGAATTCAGTGGGGAGCATGAAGGAGGGGAAGGGCAAACAGCAGCAAGGTTCACCGCCTGGGCACCAGAGCCATGTGAAAGCTGGAGCTCCAGGCAGACCCTGCCCTGAACAGCTGATGTGTTCAGAGCCCACTGCTCATACAAAGCTCCAGCAGGAGCCCAAGCTGATCAGACAGTGAGCTCACAGATCACTGTGCATGCATGGTGCAGCCCAAATTGGGGGCCACACTTTCCCTTGACCCATTCCTGGATCTGCCACTGAGCTGGTATGAGTAGGAGTAATAATGGTCAGACACATAGGAAGAAAGGTGCCTACAGGAGGCCAGGGGCAGGTCACTTACTCTGATGTCTGTGTAACCTTGTAGAAGAGTGTGAACAAGACAGAGCTGGTGACCTCTTGCCGTACTTCCCAGCTGCACAGGAGGCGATCAACACCATTGAAGTGGCAGCGGAGATTCTTGGGCTGACCATCATCTCCTGAGAAAGGCAGAGGTGAGGCTTCCTCTAGGTAGAACAAGGGAGGGGGGGAAGTAGAAGGAATATTTTTAGTTCCAGGCTCCACTGTAGCAAAGCCTTACATTAATGCTTACATTATATTAGTCAATCTGTTCATCCACCCATCCATCAATGGATATGCCATAGTTCACATCAGAAAATCCCCACAGCACCCTGACAGTTGCATGATCTTTGCAGAGGGGATAACTACTGAACAGCCCTCTTCCTTCAGAAGTAGTCTTCTCTAGTTCTCTGTCCTGGATGCCCCAGATAAGACACGGGTAGACAGACCTCACAATGGAAATAATATCTGATTCTAGGATGGATTATAAAATTAAGGATTAGGATTCCTTTTTAGGGCTAAAGGATTGCATTGAAGGAAGAACTATTCATTTCTAAGGACTGCAAATTTTCATGGGAAGGAAAGAGATGTGGCATCTCATCCTTACCAGTCTGGAAGAGGGTGACATTCAGTTCAGCCTGCAGCTCCCGATCAGGTTTGAAGATGTAAATATCAGTTCTAAAAGAGATATTTCTGGGGCAGACCCAGCGCACATGGGAGCCCTGGCAGTCAGTGTGCTCCTCGACCCTGCGAGACTCACACGGGATCTCCATGCCATTCCTACATACAGAGGAAGAGACCCTGAAAAGCTGATTTAACTACAGGAAGTAGATCCTGAAACCTTCCCCACATTATACTCTATGCTGTTCTATTCTAATACAAGACTTATTCACATAGCATCTGACTGTTCTACCAACATCTCCAATATGTTGACCATCATTTATTTTCATGTCTTCTTGTGGGGGGATTTAGGGTTTTCTTTTTAAATATACACAATATTCATTATTTCTATTAGATAAGGAAAGCTGAAGAAATGTATCCTGCACTTGAAGCTGAGTGTGATGAGCCTAGTTACGCTCCCTATCTCCTGTGGGGGACTTCATTCCTTAGTCTTAAATTAGCCCTCAAGAAAGGTCTCTCTGCTGCACAGAAGACCTTGCTTTGGAGAACATTGTGCCAAAAGAGCATAGTTGGTTACCATAGGTTTCAGGCTGAGCTTTAATTATCCCAGTCCCAAACCAGACAATGCCCATAGAAGGTAAGAAACAAGCCCTTGATCTTGATCTAAAATTCATACATTAGAGTATAGAACACAGGTCTGATATGCCTGTGGATGCCTATGTTCTTGAGGTTACTTTTGTGGTAGTTGGACGTTTCTAAGCATTTCAGTGGTCATGTCCGGGTATACTGCTGTAATCTAGCTGAAAAGTGACAAAGACATGAAAAACGGGAGCCAGGATGGGATGGAGCAACCTAGACCAGCATTTCCCAGCCTTTTTCATCCCACGGCACACTTACATAAATTTTAAAAAAAATAGCAGCACACCGCCAACCATGCCACACCCCCCTCTATCTCGCCCCCAGGATGGGATGGAGCAACCTAGAATCTAGGTCCTAGACAACTGGCTATGGTGGAATTATATCAATGCTTAGTATCAGTGAAAAATGTAGTATCAATGGAGTTAACTAGTAGTAGTTGTGCACCTTCAGCCAAAAGAGCTGACCCATGTCTGCAAACTCTTCATAACATTATCTTCTGCCAGTCAGAACCACTTTGGTCACCTGGGAGTTCTGCAGCATCTAACTGGTCTTTATCCATGAGCTAGTTTTATCAAGCACTGGGATATTCTAGTGGTACTGAGTTGTGATATGAAGCAAGGGACGAATAGACCTGTATGTCATCTGATTAGGGCTGGCAGCTGAATCCACTTTGTGTGATAAGGTGCCCTAGTTCATCTCCACCCTATGACCCACCTTCGTGGCCCATCCTCTATTCATTCTTCATAGTCATTTTTTACCATTTATTTGATTTTGACCCTCAGGGGTGACCTCTCTCTTATGGCCAAATCCAAACACTAGTAAAGTCAGCCATAGATTTCAATTTATGTCAGAACAAAGCACAAGTGATTTCAAAATCTCTTTTGCAAGAGTCAGTAGGTAAGACCTCCAGTTCCCCTCCACTAATTCCCAGTCCCTGGACCTTCTCTCCTCACCCTTCCATATTCTTCTTTCCATGTTTTTTATTCTTTCTTCTTTTCTCCCTTTCCCTCCCTCTGCTCACATGCCCTTCAATCTGATAACTCAGTTTCCCTTTCAGAAGGAAGCAGTTGTGGTGGGGAGATATTAACATGCACAGCCTCATATCTCTGGGAGGAAGCCTGATGAAACATGAAGACATACATTTCTCTCTTTCTCACAGCTTCTCCACCCATCTGTGTTTTACAGAATTAACTTGTACTCATCCTGTTACAACAGGAATTGACAAGGGGGAAGGGGACCACCCCTAGTTTCCTTGCTGATGCAAGACCTTCATCCCTGTACCTATTGTACTGCCTGCTTCTCACTTCCAGATGCAATATCCTAAGATAGCCTGGCATTTATCACCTACAGAAAAATCAGGAGACTCAAAAACTGTCACACTAGTACAAGTGTCTACACACTGCTCAAAGCCAGACTATGAGCTCAGATCCCTTTTTCTCCACCCAGTCCCACCTCTTGGGTGCAGCAGACATGCTCCCCTTATGCCTTCCTCCTACATGCACTTACATTGTGTTGTCATGCATCTTGAACAGAGTCATATTCAGGAAGTGACGAGCCTCTGAGCACTCCTGCCCCACACACAGGTAGTTTGGACGGCATAGTCATTATAACAGTGCAGGCTTTGCATTGGGACACTCTCTGTGAGGGTAAAGCAAGCACAGCAGAGAACATGGATCATAAACCTGAGTCATGAGGAATAACAGGACAGATGTGAGCACTGCTGCCATCACGGGGTAGGCAAAGATGGAGGAGTGAAGAACTCTGCAAGGACCTTCTGCATGTTGTTTGCTCACACATCTTGGCTTTCATGAAGCAAAAAGCCTCATTCTTCCCAATCTTTCCTAGCCAGAAACTGGGAATGAGAGGGTACTTACCAGTATCAGCTTTTGTTCTTAGAGTCAGCCTAGGGCATTCACAATGGTGCCAACTCTCCCAGTATTATTGGGAGTATCTCAGTAGTTAGTGCTTTTCTCATGGCCTTAATTTCTGCATTCAGGCTTTTGCCTGAGAATCTCAGTTTTCAGGAAAAGAAAGTAACGTCAGAGCCTGCATATGTGCAGAGGAAAACACAAGTATAGCTTGGAGAAAAGCTTGGAGCCTGGAATACCCCAACAACAAAAGAACCCCAAACTATTTTTGTTGCATGATTTTTAAGCTGCCTTCAGAAATCCTGAGACTCCAGCTCATGAGACGGAGCTCTCTAGGGGCTGTAGTGGGAGTTACAAGTGAGGGTATCACTGCAGACAATGAGTATGTAGGAGTCTTTTTTTCCTAGGCTTATCCCTTGTGGAGTGTCCCAGTGTCCTCATGTGGTGTCCTATGTCAGACAACTCCCTCTCCAAGGAAGAGTGCACCTCCTACAACCTTCATGCCTGCTCCAGCACTGCAGAGAGCTATACAACTCAGAGAGAGAGGAATATTCATGGATAGGGTGAGACTCTCAGGGGCCTCTGTGCATTCTCACTTACGGAAAACAAGAAAGCAGGGTGCCACCAGTTCAGAGCTGGGTGACTGGTTCTTCAGGGCATGGCTAAATCATGTCCTTGAAACCCCGCTGCCCTGCTGCATTGATGTCAAACCTACTAATAAGGAGGTAAAGAAACTCTATGGGTAGTGTTGCCAACTTTGTTTGAATCTATTCCGGGAGGTTTCCAGAATGCCAACATGCCTGCGACACACAAGGCAAATGTGCCTGCGTGCTTACATATATCAGCTACGGATTATGGTGTGTAGACTTTGTCAGGAAGGCAAATAAACATTATTATTACACTAGTGAATTGCCAATGCCCATCAAGAATGATGGGGAGGGCAGGGACAGAGCACTGACACTCACTATCCCGCACCGCTGCTGCCTCCCAGGAGCCGGGGGGGAAGCTTGTATGTGGCAGCTGCTACCACCACCCACCACCCCGCACTGCTGCTGCTCCGCATCCGGCAGCACACCACTCCTCTCCATGCTTTGTGTCCAGCCCCATGCCTCCCCTGCACACCCCTGCCCCCCCTGCAGGGCAGTGGAAGGCTGCCACCACCCACTGCCCTGTGATGTTGCTGCTCCGCCCCGCCATTCCGTGTCCAGCCCCACACCACCCGCCACCTGCATCCGGCCCTGCACCACCCTCCCTCCCACCCATTCTGCATCCGCCTGGCCTGCTCTGCTGGAGCCATGCCCCACCTGTCATTCTTGATGCACATTCTTGACGCAGCACTGCCTGGAGCCATGACCCCAAGAGCAGTATGTACAGACAGATGGACACATAAACAGATGGACTAAGCCCTTTATATATAGAGAATTTGAAAAACCCACTGGACTACTGTATGAATCGGATTCAATATTTAATATTCATTTTAGTGAATGTCGTATCATCTATCTCCCAGGTGACTCTCAGCAGTCACCTGGCAATTTATATTTAATTCCTGGAAACTCCAGGGTGATCCTGGAGGGTTCACAACCCTATCCATGGGTGTCCCCCACTGTCTCTTGGTGGTGATGATGAATGCCCCCAGAGTGGCTTCTCAGCCTCATGTCTGGACTTGGCATAGGCAAAAAGTGGGAAGACAGAGAGTACTTTCTACAATCAGGGAGGATATAGTGGAGGAGGAACATACAGCGCAGCACTGCTCTACCAAACTGGGCAGCAGTATGACGGTGAATCCTAGATGGAGGGTGGCACTGAACTCCATACTTCCACCATGGAATATATAGACAATAGATCCAAGCTAGATATATAGATCCTGACATGCCAGTCAAAGTGTAACATAGTTCCAATGCACCTCACTTGCATGCAGAGAAGTTTCAAGAAAAGTTTTTCCTGGCATAGTTTACAGATAGAAAGCCAGACCAGTGCACCTTACCTAACACAATGATCTTAGAAACTCTAAGGTATGGAATTGTGTCTCTTCCAAAGAAGAAGACATGGAGGGAGACAGACTCTATAAAATGTAAATCAGATCATGCCTTACACATGAGACTCAACTTGTGTACTTTGTATATGGGTGTTAATGCTGATAGTTCCCTTGGCCTGCTAGCAGAGGTTATGCCATTAGGAATGCAATGTTAAGAGAGATATATTCCTAGATCACTTCTTTCCGTGGCTCAAATGAAAGGCCAATCCCAGTGCAAGTCCCAGGAAGCATGCTACACCTCCCATTTCTGTGTTCCTCCACCTTTTGCATTCCTCATATGTACCATATATTCTGGTTACCAGTCATCCTCCCAGCTGGTCTATGTTTTTTCCAATATACTCAACTGAAACAGCAATAAGAGGATGGGAGCCAAGGAAAGTAGAAAAAAAGGAGATAGGGTGTAGAAGTGTCCTGGCTCAAAGGAAGGCAAAGGGAAAATAACAATGTAGGGGAACACAAAGAAATGGAAAAGCTATATTTAAACCCACCTCGAGCGTCTCCAACCCAAAGAGCCAAGACTAGTCCCAGGATTATGCTGCAGAACTCCATCTTCATGTCTGCCTGGCCACAAAGCTCAATCATGCATTAGGAGTTGGCTCCTGGGGTTCCCAGTCTGTTGTTCTTCTGCTCACACATGTTTTTGTGCTTCTTCACTAGCAGCTGGTGAATGTAGAAGTAAAACTCATAAGTCAGCTGGAAGCCTGTCTTAGACATAAAAACATCCTCCTGCTGCACTGAGGGAACCTTTCAAAAAGGCTTCAAAGAGATGACCATTTCCTTCCTGGGTAGTTGCATGATGCACAGAAAACAGGCGGATGTGAGCTTTTGACATAATGCACAGATTGCCCCTATTCAACTCGAAAGCAAGAAGTAGCCGCAATTTATAGAAAGAGAGAAATGTTCTCCTTGTTCATTCAGCCCGGCTCTTCCCAGAATACATGTGTGCCCATTTTCACACAGCCTGCTCTGACAGTGGACCCAAGACTGCCCTGGAGAAAACAAGGTAGTCCTCCCTTAAGAAACACCACACACTCCATGCATACACATGCTTTTTAGGAAATGATGAAGTTGACTTGGTCTTCATCTTTATTTACCTTTAGTAGCCAACATATTATTTCCCTGGCAAGACCCCAGATGAGGACTGCCATGAAGCAGTGTCCAATGGAAGGGTTAAGCTACAGGAACAATCCCAGTGGATTTGTATTTCCTCTCTTGGTGATGAATGTGGGGATCCAGAGTTGCAAATACCGTGGGTCATATTCCCTGAAGGTGTATGGATACAGCGCACCATTGGTGATTCTTGTTCTGTATGACTGCAGTCTAAAGAGTATAACCCTTCCTTGGGCACAGCCATGGCTCAGCTTCCTGTGCCTGGAAACAGCTGATCTGTGGCTCTTCCCCACTTCAGAGGAGCCCAGAGAAGGAGGCTTAACCAGAATGAGTCTCTGCTTCCTAAAATCACTTCCCCAGATAGAATGCAGCTTGCAAGGCCCCTGAGCCTCCATTGCTGAGAAGAGATCCCAATGCATATGGTAATTCCAAGCCCTGACTTCTTGGAGGAGAGGGGTGCAACTTGCCATGTGCCCTTTGTGGCAGAAATGCCCCGTCGGTGCCCCTCTCCAGAGATCTGTCTCAGCCAGCCTGAGAGGCTGCTGTTGAATCCCTCACAGCGGGGATCTCCCACCTTGTCTGCAGACAAAAGCCTGGCGCCTGGGCGGCGATGCTCTGGTCACCTGGGCGGGGGGGGGAA